GTCCCACTCTCCCAAGGGCTCCCTGAGACTTTGGGCAAGTCATTGCACCTCTCCAGGCCTCAGGGTCTTCACATGGAGATCAGCTCATGGGCAAGGCCCTTCAAGCTCTGGGTGCCCAGGATCCGACGATGTGTCTGTTCTTACCCTGTTCTGAACCACAGCTCTGGCTTGGGTTTAATTCAGAAACACAAGGCAGATGTCGACAGTCAGCATGGTGATAATTCAGGGAGAAGGCCACCATCACAGCATTGTTCTAAATTAAATGGTGTGAAGGATGAGGCAGGGGGCAGAAGAGCAGAGCTCGAAGTGAGCAGCTGGGCTCAGGTGACCAGTGAGTCAGCAGTGAGGCCCAGAGGTAGAGGATTCCCCTAAAAGAACAACCAAAGGGGCTGCCACATTAGCGGGTAAGCTATGCAGAAATGCCACCACGTTTGGAGAATTCCCAGAAACTGCAATTTGCCCGTCTGTTTGTACCTCCTGTTCTCTATCCGGGCTCGGGATTCTAGCTCCATCCCAACCACCCGCTCCTGCTTCCTCCTTCATGATCTGAACTACAAACAGCGGAAGCTTAAAACAAGAGCTGTGGACCCCCCCACATACTGGGATGAAACTGGAGGACAGTGTCAGGGACCCCAGAAGTGAGTTTAGGAAGAGATAAAAAGCAGACCCATATTAAAACATCTACACAGACCTGTAAGAGAGAGACTACTAACCCAGGCAGGGCCGAAGTAAGACCTTGACCAAAGCCACAGCCTATCACGGAAGGCAGCCTATCCCAGCCCATCACAGCCCATTACAGCCCAGCAGAGCTGGGGCAGGACCATGGAGAACAAATTGCCAGCTCCTCATTGCCCAGCAGAGTGAATCTGTTGGTTGGCTGTGGGGTCATTTCCCACTAGCTGCCTAAGGTCTACAGAAGGACCTCCAGGCCCACCAGGAGGGTTCCAAACAGCCTGAAGTCCAGGGGTAACAAGGGACGCAAGGCTCTTCGTCCTCTGTTGCTATCTTCTGCATTTGTTCCAGGATGAGAACTGGCATGATGAGTCCCTTGCAACCAACATACGTGAAACTGACTGAGTCCCAGGGTGAGCACTCTAAAATATTTATGATTTGTTCCCTCCCATAGGCTCTAAATCATCGGCTTTACTGCACCGTAACTCAGCTGTTTCTGCTACACTATCTTTGTGTGCCCAAACACAGTGGTGGATCTAGCCTAAGGTAGGGGCTCAATAAACTTTTGCCAGACTCAGAAGCTTACATTTGTCTGCACAGCTAGAATATGTCTTTTAGCAAGCAAGGACTGCGTGTTAAATTTTCTTTGTATGCACTTCAAGATAAACATGTAGGTGCTTGATATATATTTGTGAATGAACGGTTGATTCGTTGGGTAAACCTAACAACCCTCCAGGCTGTGCCTATGAACCTTCATTTTCACGGACTCCGAGAAATACATACAGGCATGCACGAGCTCTCTGCTCTTTTCTGGGCTTCTTCGTCCCTGGAGAGGGAGCAGAGCGGGGAGTATAACCTGAGATGGTTTCTCAGGGGCCCACACTTTAAATCAGATGGCTTTGAAACCAGTAACTAAAGGGTAAACCTTGGATTGGATGAGGACTCCGTGAACTGCACCCATGTGAACATAGGCATGTGTTGCATTAACATGTGTACCATATGCACATATCCCATGCAGGCACGACGCTGGTATATACTGGATGTATCGGAACTGATACCCCGTCACCAACAGCAAGTTATCAGATGACAGATAATAACAGCAATGCAGACTTCTGCTCTTTAGTGACCATTCTCATTAGGTACTAGTAACAAATCAAACGTGTTTTGACAAAGAAAAAATACCAGCATAATTTACTCACTTTCTCAGGTTCAGTATTTCCTGAGGTGTCAAGACCTACTCTCAAAAAAAAAAAAAAAAAAAAAAGTGGCCACTATTTAAATAAAAAGCCATAGGCTGGAAGAGAAATCACAGTTATGGGGAAGCGCCCCTTCCCCTACTGAGAGGCCCCAGGCAAGTCATGGGACTTTTGGGGCCTCGGTGTGCTCATCTGTAAAATGAGGTTAATAACCCCCCTACCTCACAGGACTCTCTTAAAAAATGATGATACAAGGGGGAAAACCCTGCTCTGTAAAGTCATACAGACAGATGATTATTCTAGCACTGTGTTAATCACTGATGACACCGTACCCCAGAATGAGTTACAAAATTACTGCCTCTAAGCGGACGTTACGCAGGACCGACACCTGACACAGGCGATGAGATGATCCCTGTGTAAACCGAATCGTGTTTCAAACACTCAAAGGGAGTTTCCTCAGGCAACCTGAGTGCATTCTGTGAGGGACTGCATATCTTCTAACGTCTGTTCTGCGCATTCTGTTCTCGTGTAATTGGGTTTTCTCGAAAGCCAGGCAATTTCCTCGCTCGGTCCGAGCATGCTCGGAGCCGAGATTCCTGAGGTTTTCGGCCCAGGCCCGGTGCTGGGCAGGAGGAACCGGGACTACAGCCGCGGCTCCTCCCCTCCCTCTGGGAGGCTCCTTCCTCTCCCCTCCGGCTCGAGTGGCGGCAGCCGGCGGCGCCCGTGCTGTGTCACTTTCGCCCTCGGAGGCTCCAGCCGCTTCCTGCCTTAGCGCGCGGGCCCCTGGCCTGGGAGATAATCCCCCGACCGCGGAGCCGAGCGCCGAGAGGGCAAAGGCCCGGGCCCGCTGGACACCGGTCAGCGGTGCAGGCGGCAACGCCGGGCAGGGCCGGGCCGGGGCGGCCGGGCAGCCTTTGATCCTCACCATCCCCAGGACCAAGGACCGGGAGCGGGGTCGCAGAGCGCGCTGATTCTCTCCAAGGTCTGCGAAGGCAGAGGCGGGCGCACGGGCACGCGCACCCACAGAGCGCCGCGGTGCAAGGGTCACCCCGAGCGTGTCGGGCGGGCCGCGGCGACACGCGCGCGCCCGCGGCTCCTCCCGGCCCGGCCAGACCAGCCCCCCGCGCCGCTGAGAAGGCGGCCAGTCCTCTGGGTCAGGGGGCATCGGGGACGCGGAGGGAGGGACGGTGAGACTCTGGCTGCAGGGCGGGACGGGGACTCCTTCATGGACCCCGCGCGCACACAACCCCAGTATCGTCCCAGGCCCACAGCCTCACGACCCCCTCTCCTAGTAACCTGGGTGCGTGCGCGCGGACACACACACCACAACAAGCCCAACTGGGACCACGAGGGGGCTGGCAGGACCAATCCCCGCGGGAGATCGGGGCCCACGCGTGTCCCCACTACGCCGCGGTCTGCGGTCCCCGCCCCCCGCACACACACGCCAGAGCGGTGTGTACACACAAACAGCTGGGCGGGGGAGGCGACGCCTCACTCCCCGGGGTGGGGACGCACGCGGCGCCGCCGGCCATCCCTCCCCTTTACATGCCGCACCGCCCTCCTTGCTCACACCTGCCCCCCAGCCCCCAAACTCAACGAAACCAAACAGCCAACGCCACCCAGATGAGGGGCTCGGACCCCCGATTGTCTTTTATCGTCAATGGAGAGAAATACCCAGCTCAGACGCGCGGTCCCCGGGACGCCTTCTCCAGTCGCACCCAGGCTCCGGCACGCGGCCCTCAGGTTCCCCGGACCTCCGCCGCAGACCGAGCCACCGCCCCCTGCCCGCCCTCCCCCACGACCGCCGTCCGGGACAGTCACCTGCTCGTCATCCTGAAGAACCCGAGCCAGAGCCCACCCCTGGCTGCTCGGGTCACTCGCCACCGCAAGCTAGCTTTTCAGAGCCTGTCAACTTAACCCCCAATCCGCCGGGCGGACCTATTCCCCAGGCCCAACTACACCGCGGCGACAGGAATAATAAAAATGCCAACAGAATCACCACCGCGGGGAATGTCCAAAGCTGCAACCGCAATAGATGCACCGATCCGGTTTCCTCCTCTGCTCCCATCCCCCGCGCCCCCCGCGGCCCGCGGGCTCACCGGGGACGGAGGGAGGGTGCAGCCTGTCTAGACGACAGACATCCCCGCGCCCGCGAGGACGGGCGCGCACACACACGGCCGCTGCCACAGACACAATCAGTCACCAGAGGAGGGAGGGGCGGGGTGGAGACACTCTCTCGGGGTCCCTCCGGCAGCCGCGAGTGCAGCAGCCTCCGGCCGGGAGCCGCGCTCCCAACCTCAGCGGAGCGCAGTCAGAACAGCTGCAAGTTTGGCTGGTACTAAACCAACTGCTCGATGCAGCAAATGCGGGCTTCAAAACAAAAGGGAGAGGAATCACGCTCGCTCTCTTCCTCCCCCGCGGGTCGGAACCCGGCACATGACAGCGGCTACACCGCGCGGCTCCAACGCAAACCGGGCTCCAGCCGTGCGGCCCCCAAGCACCCCCCCTCCTCACCAGAGCTCCAGGGCTACAGCTCCCCCCCGGGCGGGGAACCCGGCAGGAAAGAGGCTAACCTGGGGAGGGGACGAGATCGGGGAGTGCGGTCCTCAACAGAGGCGGGGACGGTGGATGGGCGCGGACGCCCGACTGCCCCGGCGCAGGAAGGGAGAAGGGGGCTAATTGTTTGGGGCGGTTTTCCCGGATTTATCTCTAAGCACGCGCACGTCACGCAGCCCTCCTCCTGGGTCCCCGAATCGAAGGGCAAGCTGAGATGACTAAAAGAGGGGGGCGGACGGGGGGATGCTCACCTCGGGGTCCCTCTGGCCGCTGCTCCGAGCCCGAGTCGGGGGGTGGGGGGAGGGGGCAGGGAAGGGGAAGGGAGGGAAGAGGCTCGGAAGAGCCGACTCCTGCCTCGAGTTCTGCGCGTCCCGGCTGCGGAGGGGATCGGGCGCCCCAGCGCACAAACCCAGCCGAGAGGGGAGGGAGGGAGGGAAGGGAAAGAGGGAGGGAGGGGCGGGTGGGGGGGAGGGAGTAGAGGAAGGAAAAAAAATGAACCCTGCTCTGACACAGGGAAAGAGAATGTAGGAGAGTGACGTCCAGGCCCCACCCTCCCCTCCGGCCACGTGCAAAGACTTGAAAGGAAAGAGGGCGGCGGGAGGCCTGCTGGGTAATGTAGTTCGCCTTTCTTTCCCAGGATGGCGGGCCCGGGAGAGCCGGGCGCTGCCGGGACGCCGGAGGTGCAGCCAGAGCAGCCGAGACAGCCCAGGGGAGTGACGCCGAAAGCAGCCGTCTTACGCTCCCTCCCCGCCAACCCCGGCGCGACCCTGGGTGGGGACCTCTGCATTGGGAGAACCGGGGGCTTAGGTGCTGTCCAGGCTTTCAGGGAAACGTTTAGTTTTAGGGGCTGGGAGGCTTTAAGGATGAGGACTTCCGAGCTTAAAGTGCAAAATCTGTCCTAATGGCAGATAAAAGGAAGCTTTGTGTATGCACTGGGCGGCCCGAGTGGCGTTATTAATGCTGCATTAAATGCTAACGTCTGTTATTGAGATGCATATGTTATAATTAACATTTGAACATCTCCGTGGCAGGGGCGGGATGTTGTAATTAGATATGCACTTTGCAACCAATTAATTTTCCATTGGCCATGCTGAGGGCTGGGAAGAGGGACGTGGTGTCTGGGAAAATTCAATGCAATGGATCATTCAGTAATCACCTAACCAAATCACCAATGTTTTCGGTGTTCCTACTAGGTGCCAGGCACTGAACTTGGCGCAGAGAGGCCTTCAGGAGAAATATACGATGCTGTACACCCCTCCAAGCAAAGGGGGTTGTAAAGTCATTGGAGGAACTGTGTGACACAGTATAACTGCCTTAGAAATCCATTTATTAATTCACGGAACATTTGGTGAGTACTTTCCACAGATGGGACACGTCTGGGAATATCAAGACAGGAGCCTTAGTCCCTGCCCTCAAGGAGCTCAAAGTCTAGTGTAGGGACCACAGTCAATTCAAAGTATAAGGGATAAGTCAACACTTAACATAGGGATACGCGTAAAGTGCTACAAACCCCTCAGGAGGAGCAGCCAACCTGGATGGAGGGTGCGTGGGTGGGAGAGAGTCAGAGAAGGCTTCCTGGAGGTGGTGGTACTTGAGCTAAGAATTGCTGAAATTTTTAGCAAAGGCAAAAAGGAAGGGGTGGGCATCTGACCAAGGCTACAGAGTACAAAGGCTCCAGATGAGAGAGAAGAGAGCTAATTCTGAGAGCCCCAGCAAGGCGGCACAGCGTGGAAGAGGTAGATTGATGGGGGCGGAGGTGGAGCATGAGCCTAGAGGGCAGAAGGAGCCTGGAACAGCTTCTCCCTGGACGAGGAGCTTGAAGTGGGCCTTGAAGGAGGGATGGGATTCTATTTTGTATGAAGAGCTTGTCTTCCAGGCTTGAGGCTCAGCATGAGGCAAACCACGGAAGGAAAGCAAGACAGCATTCAACCCACGTCCTATAGAGCAGCTCATTTGATTCTTGTCCAGTGGTCCCCCCTTATCTGCAGAGGATACTGGAGGAAACATTCTAAGACCCCCAGTGGATGCCTGAAACCATGCATAGTACTATGTTTTTTCTTATACATGCATATCTATGATAAAGTTTAATTTATACATTAGGCACAGTAAGAGATTAACAACAATAACTAATAATAAAATAGATTGATTGTAACAATATACTGTAATAACAGTTACCGTAGATCTTAGCAACCTCCGCATATGATTTTTTTTCTTATTAAGTTGAGAACTTTCACCCTTTCACTTAAAGGAAGCACTTTACAGCTTCCCTTTGGCATATCTGAATTGCCAACATCATTACTCTTGCGCTTTGGGGCCATTATTAAGATAAGGGTTACTGGAACACAAGCGCTGCGACCCTGCCACAGTCAATTTGATAACCGAGAGGGCTACTAAGTGGCTAACAGGAGGGAGTGTATACAGCTTGGATACACTGGACAAAGGAAGGGTTCACATCCTGGATGGGTCGGAGCGGGATGGTGTGAGGTTTCATCATGCTTACTCAGAACCAGTGCAATTTACCCTTATGTTCATTGCAGCATTATACATAATAGCCAAGACTTGGAAGCAACCTAGGTGCCCATCAAGGGACGAATGGATAAAGAAGATGTGGTATTTATACACTATGGAATACTACTCAGCCATAAGAAATGATGAAATCCGGCCATTTGTGACAACATGGATGGACCTTGAGGGTATTATGCTGAGTGAAATAAGTCAGAGGGAGAAAGTCAAATACCGTATGATCTCACTCATAAGTAGAAGATAAAAATAACGACAAACAAACACATAGCATTGGAGTTTGGCTTGGTGGTTACCATAGGGGAAGGGGGGAAAGGAGAGGGCAAAAGGAGTGATTAGGCTCACATGTGAGGGGATGCACTGTAATTAGTTTTCGGGTGGTGAACATGATGTAATGTACACAGAATTCGAAATATATTACCATGTACATTGGAATCAATCAATCAATCAATCAATCAATCAATCTCGGGGGAAAAAAAAGAACCAGTGCAGTTTAAAACTTATAAATTGTTTATTTCTGGGATTTTCCATTTAATATTTTCAGACCATGGTTGACCATGGCTAACTGAAACTGTAGAAAGCAAAACCACAAATAAGGGGGGACTACTATACCAAAGGGCATGGGGGGAGTGTCATCCCCTCCCTTCCAGAGGGAGGCAGCAGGCCCACCGTCATGCATCGGAAGAGGCAGAGTGGGTACTGGAAGCCAGTTGTCTGGGTGCCAGGCCCAGCTCCCCACCAAAGGAACTTATCTAAGCACACCTGATCCTTCCCGCTGGTTTGCCCTTCTTAGCAGTTATGGCTCATTGACTCAGCAGTGTGTTATTTTTATGCTTTAACATCTGGATGATCTCCTGGGTTTACAAAATATTAAATAATAGTACCAGAGTCTATCCACTCAGCAAATTCCCATTAACCCGCCTTTTGTGCTGTTTTGCACCTTGTGCGAGAGGAACTCCACCTAAGGCATGCAAAGAAACAAGAATGGAGTTGTCTAGGTCTTGGTTTTGCTTTGCTTTAAATCACACTCCCAAAGGCGGAGAGAAGCTGAGCAATGTGCAGAATGCAAAACGTCTACTCAGAGCACACGCCTCTGTTTAGGGGTGTGCCTGGGGTGTGAGGGCCAGTGGGAGCAACACAGGCTGGAGAGCTGGAGAGCTTGGCCCCTGGGTTTGAATCCCAGGCATGACACTTCCAGGATCTGCAACCTTGGGCAGCTTACTTAGCCTCCAGTAGGTGACCTTGGGCAGCTTACTCAACCACCTTTCTTGACCTTGTGAGAACCAATGGTGGTTAATGTATTTAAACTGGCTCTGTCACATAGCAAGTGCTGGGTGACGGTTGGTTCCTTTCCTCCTCCCCAGGGTCTCTCTGGGCCAGGAGAATGATCCCTGAATTTTTCTTTCTGCAGAGTCAGGCCAGCACAGCTCATGCTGGAGGCAAGATTCCTCAAGGGACCCATCTTCATGTGAAGTAGGTTAGGTTTGTCTTCAAGGAAGCTTCACCCAGTTCCAGCCCACCCCTCCTGCTGGTCCAGTAATTCTCACCAGCTGACAGTAGTGATGCTCTTCCCCTCCCGACCCTGCTGCCCGAGGACCCCATAGTGTGTCACCCCACCCAAGGTGCCTTCTCTGGGAGTGTCTGTAGCCCACATTACTTTTCCCCGCCCACCAAAATTTACCTCCTACTCTCCATCCTCAGATCCTGGCTTCTGCTTTATCTCCAGTCTGATAAACCTTCTCTAATGTATGATAAGATAGTCTTTTCATTGTCCTCCAACCCTGACATTTTTGTCTTATTGAGAGCTCTCTGAAATGGCCTCTGATGATGGGGATTCCAGCCTGGAATGAGATCTTTGAGAGGAAGACTGTGGGTCCCTCTGACTAAAGTCTCCCAGCGTGGGAGGGCTGGGGCTTACTTGGTCCCTCATCTGGTGTCCTTCCTTCTCTGCTCTGTGGTTGATCTTATGCCCAACCTGCAGGTTTAGGTCAGAGAAGCTGCTAGGTGCAGGACTAATGAAATGACACTGCATCGGTTTAATTGCGACAGACTTGAGTTGCCAAGAGTTGACTTTGTCTGACTTGTCACTGCACAGCCCAGAAATTCAAAGCCAGACTGTTTCTCTCTGTTTTAAGCAGTTGCTTTTCCTAATTCACACTTTCCTAAGATACTAGCAAAAAGAAATATTTCTCCTTTCTTCCCATTCCTTCTCCTTTCCCCTACCAGTCTTTCCTCTATCAATCGTCGCATTTATTAAAGGCCTGAGGGTGTTACAGAGCCCTAAGGGACCAGTGACCTGGAAGTGGGTCCTTTTGCCCAAAACCGCTCGTACCAATAGAATGAGACTGGGTTCAGAATAGCAGAGCAGAAACGTTATTCGTTGATCAAGGAAAATAGAGAAGGAGAGCTCCTGTTTTACACACCTTCTCCCGAAGGGAAGTTTCTTACAGGATGTGAGGGGGGCGAGGTCTCTGTGTCTGCTCAAGGCAGGGGCATCTGGAGCATATGCACATCTTCCCTTCTTGCGCACACAACTTAAAGCAAAGCATCAGAGTGGAAAGTGTTTTAGGGACCTCTCTGGGCAACAGTGGGAGCCCACCAGAGCGCAGGGGGAGAAAAATGACCTGCCTTCAGGCGCTGAGGAGACCAGGCTGGCACCTGTGAGATAATAGGGAAACTGATGAAGTGCTATACTGTGCGAGGGTGATTTTTAAGGGAACAAAGAGTTCCTGGTGGGCTGGAATGGTCAGAGAAGGCTTCTGGGAGGAAAGCAGGACTCGACCCATTCACGGCCTCCCGTCAGGAGGAGGGCAGCCGTGGCCTAAACCCACGTTTTGTAGCATTGACCTGGGAGACACTGCAGAAGTAGTATCTTTAGGTGGAAACTGGAGACTGGGTTCATCACACATCAGTTTGGTGGCCACTGACCCTGCAGAAGAAAGGAAGTTACTGGTCTAGTGTCTACGCTCTGTGACTGTGGTGCTGGCCCGGAGAGATAATGGCTTGATAGAACCAGGTTAAATTTCACCGAGGCCTCATCTCAGCTTCCACTATACAAGCTCCAAGACCAACGCCTGAAAGAAAGATGGAAAGTGATCCTCGAGGGTGAAAGTTGGTGGTGGAGGAAGGGACATCAATAGAGAATCATGAGCTTGAGAAACGCAAAAGCCGAATAAGGAATGAACGAAGGAACTTTTATTGGGAACATGCGATGCATAAGGCATTGCAAGGTACCATGGGGAACCAAGCACGTGAAACTAGGTTCCAGGTCCCACTGGACCCTATCCTGCTGTGACATTTCCTGTCTCTGGGCCTCAGTTTCCACACCTGTAAAATGGGCAGGTTGGACTCTTTGATCACTAAGATTATTTCCAAACTTGAAGTTCTCCCTTCAAGACATTTACGATCTAGCTCGTAAAAGAAGCTGTAAAGTTAAGTAGCCAAAAGGGTGGATGTTAACCTGTTTCATTCCAGCAGAGCAGGAAGGGTTTGTAATATTCATTAAACAAAGCCCTGTAATATTCATTAAACCAGGGAACAGAAGACAAGCAGATCTTGTCTTACAAGTTTCAAGAACAGTAAGCAAAGCCCATGAGTACTCAGGCATTCCTCAAGTTCCTCTGAGTTCAAGGTCAGACGTCACAGGTCAGTGGCATGAGCTCCGCATCCACAGACGGCTGTGCCCATGATGAGGACCTGGGCAAAGGTCCACCCTCACATCTCTACAAGGGGCAAGTTTCATTGTTTACTAGGCTACACTCTAGAAAAACTGTGCTATCCTTACCCTGGGAGGGGCAGGCAGCCTTACAGGACCAGGGATATATGTACCCCTGATCGAAGGGCCTCCAGGCCATTGGCTAGGCCTGGACTTGAGTGGCCCTGGCTCCAGCAGATGAACTAAGCCAATCAGATTCCTTCTTGCAAGAATCTACAGGAAGAGGCTGAGAGAATGCTGCTCATTGGTGACTGCTCCTTAGTCTGGTGAGGGGGAAGGGGCTTGTGGCCTTGGTGGGCCCAGCGCAAGAGGAGTAACTGGAGGAGTGGGGTGGAGGGGGAAAGAGACAGAGAGAGGGTAGCTTCGGTTCCTAACTTTCTGACTCTCAGTCACAGGTGCTCTACGACACCTCTCTAGGGTTGCTGATATCCCTGCATCCTTAAAGTAATTCCCTGTAATTTGCACTAAGTTGAGTGGGTCTCCGACCTTTGTAATCCAAAGACCCACATCTAGAACAGCCCGAAAGAGCAGAAGTGCAGACAGAGAAGTTATGGCTATTACGATCCGTGCAGCTGGGAATTTCCCCTCCTGAAGATGCCCTTCTCTTTTCTATCCTAGGTGTCTTCCTATTCAACTAGCTTATAATTCCTGTCTCCTAAATCTTATCCTGAAAAGTCTGCAAAAGAATTGAGCCTCCACAGCCCCTAAATCCGCTTTTCAAAGGACAGTAGCTAATAAATTAGTTGAGCGAATACTATTTGCCAGGCACCAAGTGAAACCCTCTCTGTGCTTTGTCTCCTTAAGTCCACACGGCAACTTTTACAGTGGAAGGAACCAAGGCTGGGAGTGATGACGGAACTTGCCCAGGGGTACACAGCCAGCAAGGAGGTGCTGGTCTGCGCCGGGCTGCGGACCTCAGAGCCAATGGGTTTAACCACATCCCCTCATCTCAAAACATGAGGACCCACCTTCTCCAAGTCACCAGGGAGCACCTCTCCTCCAGCTACAAGAAACATCCGTCTTCCTCACTGGTGCATTTATAATGAGGTGTTTTTTTCTTTTCAACTGAGACTTTGTGTGCAAAATGTGTGTGCATTTGTTTGTATGTATCTGATGCCCCAAATGATTCTATGCCAGAGAAGAATGATCCTGTTCATATACCTCATCAGTCAAAAAAAAATTTTGGATCCACACCTATAGTACATGTTTACCATTTATCTATCTATTATATTTACCAAAATACACATTTTAAATGATGACCTAAAGATGAAGTAAGCATTTTTAAGTAATTCAAAACTTTTGACAATTAATGATTCAAAAGTCCTTTTGCTCTTAGGGAAACTTTTTTTTTTTTTGCCAATATTTACCGTACAAGTGAACATCAACAGCTATCAAATATTTTCTCCTGGCCCCTCAGTGGCTCGTGGTAGGACACGTGCATGGAGGCCACAAACCATACCCTGGGTTTTGAATGTTTGTCACGTTTCCCAATTTGTTAATAACAAAATGATTGCAGTAAATAATGAAGATGCAGTCAGCTAAACCCGAGTGAAGTTTCACTCCTTTCCTGACTTATTTCTTACCCTAGTAGTCTTTGTTTTTTGTGTTTTAAATAAATGATTTATTACGCATAATTATAATAGCTGAGATAGCATTGCCTATGCATTTTTGCATCCAGCTTTAGTCACTTAATAAAATTAAAATCACACAATTTCTGTGTTATTAAAAAGTCTTGGGGCCGGCCTGGTGGCACAGTGGTTAAGTACACACGTTCCGCTTCGGCGGCCCGGGGTTTGCGGGTTAGGATCCCAGATGCGGACACTTGGCAAGCCATGCTGTGGCAGGCGTCCCACATAGAAAGTAGAGGAAGATGGGCATGGATGTTAGCTCAGGGCCAGTCTTCCTCAGCAAAAAGAGGAGGATTGGCAGCAGTTAGCTCAGGGCTAAACTTCCTCAAAAAAAATTTAAATAAATAAAAAATACATAAAGTTAAAAAAAAAAAGTCTTTATAGACACCATTTGAAAAATCACCAAAATGCCCTCTTTTTTTACCCTGGTGTTTGTTAAGTACATATAATACGTTTACTCTAAGTTACATACCATGAATGGCAAGCACACACAGAAATGTGCATTAATCTAGGATTACGGGACCTCACAGCTTAGGTCAGAAGACTGACACATTTTAAACAGAAATGGCAGATGTACAACAGACAGAGTGACTGTTCAGGGAAAGGGGGAGTCTTGTGAGCTGGCATGGCAGGGAAGATTTTTCAGGAAAAGTAGGGCCCAGCCAGACTTGGAGACCTGAGCATGATTTGGTGATTTGCGTGGGAAGGAGGCTTCCCCTGTGGGCAGACATCAGGCATTTATAAATGGGAATTAGCAAGTGGAGGAGTCTGGGTGAGCAAAGGGAAGGAGGAGGCAGTATGTTCAGAAAGTTAGTACTGTGGAGCTGGTTCGAGCCTGGCCTCAGGGGTGCAAAGACCAGGGTTTAAATCTTGCCATCACCTTTTACGACCAGCTGACAGCCTTGGGCAGCTTCAGCGCTCTGAGCTTCCGTGGCCTCTATCACGTGGGGAAACACCAGAGCCTGCCTTCGTGAGTTGTCCTGGGGATTAAATGTGATCATGGAGATGAAGCACACAGCGCATCGTAAGGACTCAAGGAAGATTAACTTCTATTTTTTGGTTATTATTGTTGATTTTCTTGTTATACTGAGGATAGGCAGTGTGGGACCTCGAATGAGAATCTGACCATTTGGACTTTTTTCTATGGCCCAGGGTCGTGCAGTTAGATTTCGAGCTGTAATTCACACAGACAGTGGAGTGTGCACCAGACAGTTAGTCTACTTTGCCTGAGCCCAGATTCCAGTAGGCCCCATCAGCACCTTTAGCATGACCTCTGGGGCTTCAGTGGAACCTGGGGAATGAGGAAGAGTCTCCCAGGTGCCATAGGAGCTGAACTTCTGTCCTTCTGTCACCCATGGGTAGACACAAATATGCATACCTCACCTCTTTTTCTGTTTTTGCAATATTCGTTATCTAATTTGTTTATACTCCACTCTTTCCAGAAAGGACTTGAGACAGCTTTTTAAATTCTAAAATATACCTAATATGTGAAAATAGGAGTTTACATAAAAGACACTTTATGAGATGGTTATCCCTTTACAAAAGGAGTAACCACAGTTTCCTTAAATAGCTGCTCATCTGGTGCATTCAACATCAGATCTGATTGAGAAAATTTTGCTCTGCGCAACTTTTCTGGAATGCATCTACGGTATCACTGCGGTTCACAGCATTGACTGCTTTTGATCAAGTTTGCTACTTGAGTAAAGGGTATAAGAAGCCCTTGCATTTACTTTGTGCCATCTTAAACCAAATTAGGGGCTCTGCTTTATTTTTTGATGAATCTCTCAGAGATGTGAGAGCTAAGCAGTTGACCTGAATCTGGTCCAGAGGTCACTGAGCTGCCGGTGGTTGGAGAAGCCCGCTTGGAGGAGGTGGCAAGTAGGAGTTTCAGGAAAACAAGGAAAGATGCCAACTGGCTGACACTGAATGGGAGACCATCCCAGGGAAGGGGGCTGTGTGGGAGGGTGTTGGGGCTGCCCTCGCACCTGCAGGGTAGCAGGAGAGGTGGCCAGCCAGCCTGGAACCTCAGACAGGGCCACAGAAGAGAGGGCATCAGGCTGGTGACAGTTTGCCTATCCCCCATCCTACAAAACAATTTTGGTCTGACACAGAGATAAGATGTCCAACACTCCCTTTCTGCTATACTTTATTTCAGGCCTTATCAAACGTACCCTTTCAGTGGGCATGTTGCCATGACAACCTTATAGTCACTAGAGGGCATCTATAATTGGTAGAAAATGGCATTACTTTAGTCACAGCCTTTTTTTTTTTTTTCTGGGAGGAGTTTTCGTCCTAGGCTACTTAAAGTACTCAGATGTAATCTTTTTGCCTGAGCAGACTAATAATCACCTTGTAATTTAATTACTAAGCCAGCGCCAGTGAACTCTTCTTCTCCTGTCGATTGAGCTGTAATTTTCAAATACCAGCTTCTTGGGCAGGGCCCAGCTCTGGAGGCTGCAGTTATCCAGATGCAGGTCTTCACCTGCACTGTGCTTCGCGAAGCCACTCAGCCGTGGAATCAGCTCCAGGGATCCTTGAGAAATGCAAGCACGTTCGGAGCGCTCCACCTGTCAGCTATGGCAGGCGTTCATTGCCACTGAAGAACGTCCCAGGTTGTCCTCACTGTCACTTCTCCATTCCCTACAATGTCCTTCCATCTGGCACATCCCCCTTTCCTAGGTAGAGAAAACCCCTAATCATGGGATTGTAGAGGTTTTTCAAATTATTTTTAAAAATTGTGATAAAATACATATAATGTAAAATTGAACTATTTTTATGTGCACAATTCAGTGGCACAAAGGACATTCACATTGTTGTGCTGTCATCACCTCTGTCCATCCACAGAACTTTTCATTTTACAAAACTGAAACTCTGTATCCATTAACAAGTGGTCCTCATTCCCTCCTCCCGCCAGCTCCTGGCCGCCACGATTCTACTTTCCGTCTTCGGGAATTTAACTACTTTAGGGGTCTCATGTAAGTGGGATCATACGACAGTTGTCCTTTTGTGACTGGCTTATTTCACTTAGCATAATGGCCTCAAGGTTCATCTATGATACAACGTGTGTCAAAATTTCCTTCCTTTTTAAAGCTGAATAATATTCCACTGTTTGTACATTCTACATTTTGTTTATTCATTCATCCATTGATGGACACAGATTGCTTCTGCCTTTTGGCTATTGCTAATAATGCTGCTATGAGGATGGGTGTACAACTGTCTCTTTGAATCCCTGCTTCCAATTCTTTGGGGTATATACCCAGAAGTGGAATTGCTGGATCATATGTTAATTCTATTTTTAGTTTTTTGAGGAATATCCATACTGTTTTTCCATAGCAGTTGAACCATTTTACTTTCCCACCAACAGTACATGATGGTTCCAATTTCTCCACATCCTTGCCAACATGTGTTATTTTCCGGGGTTTTTTTTTTCGATAGTGACCATTCTGATGAGTGTGAGATGGTCATAGTTATCTTTTTAAGGAGAGGGCCTGTCTGACCCGATCGGCTGATGTTACTTCTACTAACAGCAATTATAGGAGCTGACATTAATTGAACACATAACATGTGGTAGCATCTGTATCTTGTATTAGGGTTCTCTAGGGAAAGAGAACCAATAGGAGATATATATATATATAGAAAGAGAGACAGAGACAGAGAGATTTATTAGAGGAATTGGCTCTCACGATTATGGAGGCTGAGAAGTCCCAGGATCTGCTGTCTGCAAGCTGGAGCCCCAGGAAAGCTGGTTGTGTAATTCAATCCGAGTCCAAAGGTCTGAGAACCAGGAGCACTGATGTCTGAGGGCAGGAGAAGATGGATGTCTCAGCTCTAGCAGAGACAGCGAAACCTCCCTCCTCCACGTTTTTGTTCCGTTCAAGCCCTCAGAGGGTTGAGTGCTGCCCACCCACATTGGTGAGGGGGAGCTTCTTTCCCCAGTCCACCAATTCAAATGTTAGTCTCTTCTGGAGACACCCTCACAGGCACATCCAGAAATAATGTTTTACCAGCTATCTGAGCATCCCTTAGCCCAGTCAAGCTGACACAAACGAACCACCAGGGCACTCTAGTTAGTTATCTCACTTGATCCTCACACCAGCGCTATCATTCCCATTTTACAGATGAAGAAACTGAAAGTTTGTATAATTGGTGATTTGCCCAAGCTCATGTAACCCACTAACTATTATATACCACTGAAGGCGGACCCTGAAGGAGGCTATAGGATTTCTCAATGCAAAACCAGATCTGCTTATGGATGGAAAGGACGGCCTCTAGTAATGCAGTTCTTTTCTTGTGTTTCTAAAGTTTAGTGCTTTTCCTGGTAATGACAACAAACAACAGTGAAGACAATAATGAGAATGATGTTAAAGAAGAAAAAGGAATTGAATATAACCAAATGTTCAGCTATAATCTCCATATGTGAAAAAAAAAACCCTCAATACTTGAACATTTCATATTCATAGAACTAAATTAGAGGGTGATTATTCATATAATGGAATTATTTGCTTTATAGAAGGATTCACTGAATTATCCTCTTCTGTGATGAGCTTTCCCCATTCATTTAAAGTAGGAATTAATTTATAACAATATGATGTATATATAGCTCCCGCAGAACACATCTATTGCACAGCATGAAGCCAAATCAAGTTGCTAAAATGATTTTGATTACTGGATAACGATAGTGGGGAATACTTGCTCATTTCAGTACTTGAGGATTCCAACTACGAAAGGATTTGTAGACTCAACTATCAAACCACTATGCTTAATCTTGGTGAAATTATGAAGGACCAGAGACATGCCAAAAGACAGGGGGAACAGACTATTAAACAAACGGTTTGCAAGCACCTACCAGAAGAAGGAATCACTCAGACTCCTTAGCAAGACATAAACAACAAGCTGAGCCAAACTGAAATCTTATCGCGTATTGCTGATACTATTAGCTCCAATAGGAGAGAAACATGGATTTGTTATTCATTTGGCAGTCTCTCCTGGCCTTCTCGTGAAAAAGAAGAAGAAATGTCGACAGAAAGAACACTAGAGTAGATGAGCAGATACTTCTGGATTTTTGGTTAAAGTGACATATTGTGTGTTGATAAATTTCTGTTTAGGTGATCAGCATTTGGTAGGCACATTCC